AATAAATAAATATATATATATATATATATATATATATATTCGATACCCTATACTCTTGTTTATGTTTCAACAAATAAAAGGCTGTTAATTGAAGTGGTTTAGTATAGTGAAAGGAAATGAACAAGTCCCAATACATATCATATATATGATATGTATTTTCAATGCAGGGGGGGTTGTTCTAGTGCAGTATCTTCAAGCAAAAATGAAAAAAATACTGAGATAATAGCAATATTAACCTCTCTACATGCGCCCTACAAGCATTAAGGGTAGAAAGGTGTTAAAAAGCTGGATGTCACTGATGGTTTTACTCCTCAAAAGAATAGAATGTATGTATATTTAAAAACTTAGTAGTAGTTTATTCCATGATTTTTCAAACCTATTACGAAGTGTACCAAAAAGAAATTAAAAAAATTATCCGATACGAAAATTTACGTTATTGGGAAACATTATGTCTCCCCATTTTTTGACATTTTTAGTTAAGCATATTATTTCATTACTAAAAAACGGAAGGAAAAATAATAATAATGCAAAGGCACTAAATACAAAACTAAAGCCCTCAAAGCCAATAAAGCGAAACAAAAGTTGCATTGTTATATTTTTCGGTTTGGATTAGTCATTCTTATAACTGAGCTTGGGTAAACAAAACAAAAGTAAAGCCAACAAGAGTGGTATTTATGATTATTATCCGTTAATAAAAGTAAAGATATACGTGCCGCGAAAATTATCATTAACCTCTCTAGCTTTATTCGTTTCGACTCCAGTATATATTTTTACATTGATTTATTTTAATTATTCATTACTTAAATTCAGAAGATCCACAATAACTATTATTATCTATAATAAAAAAATATCAGCTGCGCAAAGACAACGTAATTTTCCGATGGTTTTTTTTTTGAAGATGACAATGGAAGCAATGATTCAAAAATGTAATCAGTAATTTATAAAGCTTAAATTTAAACACTCAACGCTGTAGTTAATCTATATTTTTCCCCTGTGTTTTTCTTGTGAATCTTATCTGAAACACAAGAGAAATATCGCAGCTTACCTGGTTCACTTTGCACAGATAAATGGGAAAGAAAGATTAGAAAAGAAAAATCTAAATGAAAAGAAGTTAAGCTCATGCTGAAATTTATATCCTGTTTCGTCTCGGAATTTTATTAAAATTTAAAATGAAAGAGAAGAAAGACATGCGTTTATTTTCTTTAATACAGCCTCACTTTACGATTTGACACAATATGTGCATCAGTAGGTTGCCGTAATGTGAATATCCTCTTTGAACCATTGCCTCACAGTAGAATATACTATGCAAATTATGGCTTTGATTGGTACCGTTTTGTCATGATCATTGCCTAAAAAAGGCTTAGAGGTAAGTGTTTTGTCAATTGCAATCGTGATTTGCAAAAAAAATGGTTAATACTATCTTACATCCCTAAACTTCTCCAATTCCACAACACCAAGTGGGGAACCCAATAGGCCCATACATAATAACATAAGAAAGTAAACCTACATAGCCAACACGTTTTTTCTTTTATTTTTAGGCTATTCATTTTCTGTTTTTTTCTTATTTTTTCCTTTTAAACGACATAAACTTTAGAGGTGAGGATGGATAAGTACGATTTCTCAAATGTCACGGGATGGAAATAGATGATAGCGTGGATTTCCATCGCCACTACCGAGCTATCAAGCCACGGTTCCCCTATTTGCTGCCCCTAAGTAACTCATGGCTCAAAGAATTATGAGGGTTGCTTCCATTCCCCGCATTGTGATGCCTCGAATTACTGCCACTATTAGTATTGTTATTACCGTTGGCCGCGTTCGTGCGAATGGCGTGCCGCAAGCGGTGGCGATCGACAGTGGCGATGGGCACGATCTGATCAAAGCAGGGCGGCGCCGGATCCGACGGGATGCAATCCCGCCCGACGGAGCGGGAGAGCTCTACCACGAGCGGCATGCAGGGGAGCCCCTCGGTGTGGAGGTGGCGGTTTTGCTGAGGAAGCCGTCGAATCGTCTCGCAGTAGTCCTTCATGCACACGTACTGCGGCAACGTATCGGCGTACCAAAACCCAAGGCGATCCATCAACACGCGGCAGCGCAGCTTGTGGACGAGGTACTTCCCTACCCGCGTCCGCACCGCGGCAACGAAGGAGGTCTCCGAGCGGGACTCGACGGAGAGGACGGTGGCGACATCCGGCCCGCAGGTCGCGCTGATCACGCGGTTGATGATCCCTTTCCGGTCCCGCAGCTCACAGGGGAACATCTGGAAGAACACCGTCACCAGCTCCGGCGAGCCGGGTGGAGGGGCCTCGCACGGGGTCGGAGGGGACCCCAGCGAGGGCGACCCCACCCCCCCGCTGCCCTCCTCGTAGTACGGGATGTACCGCGTGACGGCGCTTAGTTTGTGGTGGACGTTGCCACACTTCCGCAGGGGCTCCGGGGGACCCCCCTCTCGGGGGCCTCCCTCCCCCCCTTCCACCGCCCCCGCGTCGACGGCAGGGGAGCCCACCCCGTGACTTCCAGAGCGGGAAGAGCCGGTCGTTGTCGTCGCCGCGGTGTTGGCGGAAAGCAAGTAGTAGTTGGTGGAAGGGAGGGAGAGAGTGGTGTAGGAGCTCACCGGGCTGAAGCCCATCGAGGCGGAGGGGGAGGGCGGGGCGGTCGAGGGCGTGCCCTCGTAGGGGGCCGGCGGCGGCGGTACGAAGCAGTCGCGCGGCATCCCCCCGTGCAGGGCGGGATCCCCCCCTCCCCCACCCCCATGCCTCGGGTGCGGGTGATTTTCGCTGAAATTGGGGCACAACACCCCTCCGGGGTGGAACGTGGGGATAAACATCAACCGGCAAGGTCCATCCACCGTAGTTATCATCGCAATATTGGCCATGTTCGGCACGGAATACGGCGTTTGTGCGGCGATAAAACTACTCGTTTGGGGAACGGCGACATTGCACAACGGGGGGGGTGGCTGCGTGGGGGACGACAGCCGGAGCACGGCGACGGTGCCGGTGGTGGAGGTCTCCATGCTTTTCGCGCACTGTGAGCCTACATTCTCGGGATGCATTGCCATCATCGACTGCTTCTCGGTTGCCCAGAGCTTCGTCCTCGCCGCAGGGGGGGGCATCTGAGGGGAAACCCCTGGCTGGGAGCTGTTAAGGTCGATTAGTACGTTGCTAGCGTTGGGACCCATCCGGAGCGCAGTGAGACTACCCGTGCTCGCCAAAGGATCCCCTACATTCGAGTTTGGATTCGGGTTGCTTGTGGTAGTGATGCCGGAAACAGGGTGAATTCCATTCAGGTTCTCCCGCGTGGTGTAGAGCATGACATTGTGGGGATCTGGCTCAGCGTTTACCCCGTACGGCAGGTAGGAGTGCGAGGGAAGCGGCACAAGAGAACCGGTATGACCACTAGACGACGCAGCGAGGGGGTTTGTAGTGGTAGAAGCCGGATGATTCCCACCACTGCTCGCGTTGTGATGGACAAAGCGATGGTTGCCGTTCGAATGCGAATGCGCGTGCTGGTAAGCCCCATCGCCTTTCGGAATGTTACTGTGTTTGCCAGTGTCAAACGAGTGGGCGCCGTTTTCCATTGGATGTGTTGAGAAGATAAGCCGGTTTTGATTGAAGGATTCGCTCTTGGAGTCGTGGAATGACGTCCGGAAGGACTGGTGTGCGTACGGCCTCGACGTCGATCCGTTCAATAAATTTCCGCCGTTACCGCCTTTATTTCTAGGAATGGTCCCGCCGGAGTAGCACGCGATCGACATCGTGTTGCGCGGCGTCAAAGTCGTGGTCTGCGGAGAATTCGACTGGCTGCACGCCGAAAGCGACGAGGGCAGACACAGGGTGGCAAACTGCATAGACTGCGCCTGCTGCTGCTGTTGTTGCTCTGGAGAATGGTGTTGTTGAGGCTCATAATGTTCATTATTTTGAATATGCGCTTGAGACGAAAAATCCTGGGAAATACTCTTGGGTATCGTTCTTTGCGTACCAGCCACGCCATCATTATGTTGCTCCAACGCACACCCCACAGTATTAGCGGAGTTAATACCTACGGGAGTTTGACAAGGTATCTCATGCAGCGCGGAGACGGATGGCTCGCTTGTTTGGTGGAGATTCAATGACATATTTAAAGATAAGGAGGGAGTGTTTTCATTGTCATTGAGGAAATTCTTCATATGCACCCGTTCCATCTCATCCTGCTCTACCATACTCTGGTACTGGTCTCGTGCGCTGGAAATCTCACCGTCAGCACATACTTCGCTGCTAAAGACCCCTCCGTGTAAGTTAAATGGTGAAGACAAAAACAGATTAGAATTGCAATTTCTATCCTTATCGAGGTTGTTTCCCGTGGAAATATTGTCTCTATTATCATCCCAAGCCACACTTTCGTCGAAGAAGAAATGATCGCTTTGAATCACGCGCGATAGGTTTTCACTGCAGGCCGTCTGGTACGGTGTAATTGAATTAAGTCTAACTTCATTTTTGGTATTGAACCCCACATTTCGCGACTCCTTTAATGAAGAAAAAGTTTTGGGATCATAGTGCTCCTCCACAGGCGTCGTGGAAACTGATTGTTCAGTTTGTATCTCTATTTTCGATGCTCTAATATGATTTGCGCGTTCGTTCATTCTTTTTACAAATGGTTTTCCACTGTATTGACTGAAGGGTGCCTTTAGTAGTATTGCTCAATTTACCTACCCTCCTCACTTTTTAAAAAGGAATAGTATTCTTTAGTTCTCGACACCAATGTTTATCCTTTAAAGATAATGAGTACACCGATTATGCCCAAGAAGCTCTTAAAAAAAAAAAAAAAACAGTAAGCAACTTAGAATAATATTGATGTGGATAGATTCGTATTATTTTCGAGAATATAAATCACAGAGGAGTGAAAACAGTTGACGGGAAAGAAAAACAAGATGAGCAAGAAATTCAGTAGAGTAATAGTAAATTCACGTATATAACCAATGTGTGCTTGTTTCGAAAAAAAACCTTTCAAACGTCAGCTAAATAATAATAATAAATTTGAAAAATAATCCTATTTGGGGTGATACTATGTGAACCACAGTAAACACCGGTTACCAAAATAATGGTGGCTAGAAAAGAGTGAAGAAAGAACACTATAAAAGGACAAGAAAAAAACAACGAATGCTCGACTTCTGAGAGGTTCCTCGTTTTTTGATAATTTACCGTTTCTAATAAGGTTTCGTTTTTAGCACGATAAACTATCAGAATGTTACCTATAAATGTCTTGTCCTTTCTTATATATGCGTGCGATAGCCTGTTAAAAATAGGGAAAAAATATATAATATTTAAAATACACTTGTGCTTTACACCTTTCTCTTAATCAATTCCGTGATGAGGAGCAAACCGATACTTGTCGGTGATTTTGTTTATGTCCTTAAACGAAAATCGGAATACTAACAAACGAATATGTTAATAATAAGCAGTAAACCCTATGAAAAGTGTTCCTAGTACCTTTGAATAACAGAGAAAACGAGAGATTTAGAAATACTCCCACAAACTCTATTATGTTTTCGCTTTCAGTATAAACTTAGATTTTAAGTATAGATGATAACAGGAATGATGTAAATAAATGCTAGAAAAGCGAAAGAGAAAATCAGAAAGAGGAGAAAAAATAAAAATACAAGAGCAAGCAAAATCCCCCAGATAAAAGCGCGCATAAGGTGGTTAGACTTTTGTGTCGTCAACTTTGACATTCCCTTTATTTTATTCATAAGACAAAAAAAATTTACTCGTGATGACTTTACTGATTTTAAATGTATGACACATGTGAAAATACAACTACATGTGGAATCTGATCGGAGACATTACGAAACGAAAAAAAGAGATGGACAGACAAACGCGCATGCCAGTCCCATCTCACCGCTTTGCCTCGCTTCACAACGAGCTTTAACACCTTAAAACCTGCAATCTGAGGTTATACCTCCCATTCCTTCTAGAAAAGATCCTCGTCGCTTGAAAATCCAGAGTACCCACGCCTGCCTCCACCTCTTCGTTCGCGCCGGTTCGCCGTATAACCATCCTCCCCTCCTCTCGATTGCGCGGGGCGGCGGTCGTAGCGATAGTGGGAATCCTCCTGTCGGCCCCTCCTCCAGACGTCGCCGCCACTCCGCTGATGCTCCCCTCCCCACTCCCTTCCCTCCGCGCGCTGCGGCCTGGAATGGCGCGCAGATCGATCCTCCCCGTACGCCGCGTCCCGATACGTCGCGGTTTCGACCCGGCGAAACCGCCGCGAATCGCCCCCGTCCTCACCGTAGTAGGCATCCCTGGAGCGGTGGCCGTCGTGAGCGCCCGACGCTTGGTGGCCCCAGCGGTTGTACGCGGAGCGGTACGCGTTGGAAGGGCCCGTGTCACCGGGGTGCGGCCGCCGGAAAGAGCGCTCCCCGTCCTGCGTGTGACGGTCGTAGCTGTCACGGAAAAACGACTGCGGGTGGGACGCCGGCGAGCCTCGGGCGGAGGATGGCCCCGGGAAAGACGACACGGCGCTGTTGGCATGGCCGTGGCCACTCCGCGCGTTCTCACGGCGAGCGGCGGCCGCGAGGTTCCACTGCACCCACCGGTCGGGGTGCGCGCGCTGGCGCTTGTGGCAGTCGTAGCCGGTGTGACCCCGCGCGCCGCAGTAGCAGCAACTGAGAGAAACGTCATCCACGGCGAAATTGCCACCGTTGCTGGTGTTACCCCCGCAGTCAAAGTGGCCGAGCCCACCACAGCGCACGCAGCGCACCGCAGGCATGCCGTTCGCGCCCTGCGGAAGCTCTGCCACGCTGCGGGGGAGCACAATAAAAGGCGACGCAACGCGCACCTCCCCGCAAACGTGAGTGGTGTTCATCGCCCCCCGTCTGCCGTGGCAGTTGCGGCAAAGTATATTCGGGCAGTTCGACTTCTCATGGTCGGGTAGCCCGCAATTCCAGCAAACTTTAGCTGGAAAGATTCCTCCTCTCTCTCCACCACCGCCGCCATTAGGCCCTAAGTCAAAATATCTAGAGGAAAGCGCCGTTCGTGGTGACGGCGACGCAACTGCATTCGCCGCCTGCCGACTAGAAGGCTTCTCCGAGTGCAATCCCGCAGCCACACTCACCACAGGTGGACATTGCAAATCCCCCTTCATAGCCTCATCACCACCGACTTTATCGTCCTCGTCCTCACCAGACATCCCATCGCTGCTAACCCCTCCCTCCCCAAGAACGCCATGATCGGCAGGATCATTAGCAACGCCACTATCAGCCTTCTTGGTGAATAATATGGAGAACGCACCGGTATCCTTTACCGTGGTTGCCGATGAACCTCCAGATCTTCCACCGTTTTTTACTCGCTCCCAACCCCTCCCGTCTCCCCCCAGCATACGTGAGCTGCTGCAGTCTATTACCTCCATCACCGGCGGAGATTCACGCCGCCCCTCGCCGTTCGCGTCGCTGCCTACGTTCGTTTTAGCGATGTTTGGCGGGGACTGTTGGCCGGCAGTTCGTCTGGTGGTGCAGGTTTGCCCCTCTTTGCATTCATACTGGTGCGCGACAACCGCAAGATCGGCGTCGTAAACGGGTTTAATCGTGCAGTAGGCGACTTTGCGGCGCGTATCATGCTTAGCGCAGGTAACAAACCCACGAGCATCCGGCGCGGGTGGGGCCCCCGTTGATTGCATTGTTTCCTTTCCTTTAGTACACGGATATCTATCTATCGACAAAAGTGTATATAGTAATCAAGCCTTTCGTCCTTTTTTTGTTTCCTTGAAACTCACTTGAGAAAATCCTCTAAAAAGAGGTACAAAGTAGCAACCATAGCAAAGTTGAATCAAAGATGTGCTATACCGACTCTAGACTTAGAAACAGTAAAACTCATTGCTGCATCCGAATGACGCATTTCATCAAATATATTAAGTTTGTGTTGTGCACCACATCTCGGTTATCAGTGTAGCTCCAATTAATATCTCTTTGCCTATGAAGCTTTCATCTGAAACGAAAAAAAAGAAAATTCTGAGACTTTTTAAGCCCCACATAAGAGAATTGTAGTAACATAAGTTTTTCATACACATCGACGTAGTGTTCTTATAGACTGCATCCACCATGGTGAAGAAACAACTATATTATTCATCTACTTAAAGATACTTTATTATGTCAAATTAGCGCGTTCCTTTGAGTACAAACATCTGCTATGATTTATAATTTCAAAAAAAAAGATTTAAAGTAAGATTCCAAAACACATACTTTTCCACTTCCTTCGAGCCTTTGCTTATTTCTTCTTCCTTTTATTGTGTGTATCATACTTAATAGCATTGGTTATGACGCTTCAATTATTCCTTACCCAGAAAAGTGTCATTATTATCGATGTATTCTGTAAATTTCTTCACTAAGTTTTATTCAACGATGGGAGGTAGGGAAAGAGTTGCCATTGTAGGAAAAACAACACTAAGGTATTTTATTAAGTGCTAATTGTGACCCTTTCATGGGCATTTTTGTTGCACGTGGGTGCGTCTGAGAGACTTTAGATCTCTATTCGAATGTAAAGCTACATTTCAAAAATAAAAAAATCGGATGACCTCATTTTCTTAGTATAGCGCTTTGGCTTTATCAGGGTCGTGTTTATGCGCACATGTGGCTTTCAAAATATCACTATCCCCGCAATTACAATAATAAATATAACAACGCAATTATCAAACAAATAAACGCGACAATAACCCATAAAGGGATAATATTGCCGCCAGCCTTATATTTGTACAGCTCATCCTTACTCATCTCCGACCACTTTGGTACTTCTGGAATGGGTTTCGCCTTGACGACATCCTTCTGGCTCACATCCACCCGGCCGATGATGAAAGACTTGCTTTGCACAAGAGCAGTACTGCTATGACCAATAGTTTCAAAGCTGTTCGTGATATCCATGCCACCCATATCCCTGATCGGATCGAAGCCGCCTGGGTGCTTATTCAGCCATTTGGTTACGTCCAGGACCCTGTCGTAGAGCACAACCCAACAATCGTCGTCCTTGTCGTGGCGGGCAACCTCCTCCCAGGTGTAGACGGGCAAATTTTCTTGAGACATTCACGCCTTTTACCGAGTTCTCGACAAAGGGAGTGCTTACAGAAAGCAAAGATTTAATGAGTTCGACAATGCCTCCGAATATTCAAGAATACAGAACGATAAATATCTAGTAATGAGCTATAAAATTAACTAAGGCTGTCCAGGTATATAAAGTAAATGTGTTGTAAATAATGTGTATACGTAAACGTTTAATTGTTGGTCGTTAAGATTTTAGGGAAAAGCCGAATAATTTAAGGAATGCAAAGTGAACACTGAGCAGGAATATAATACACAAGATCTACCGCTCCCTCCCCTCTGGACTCGGAACAAACTTCATATCCTTCGAGTTTTAATTCCTATGCAAGTATTCTCTTTGTTATTAGGATCGATCTTAATTGTTTACTTTTATCTGTGAGAATAACGATACAGAGACTGTCAAGCTGGCATAACTCATATAGGGATATGAAGAAAAGGACACAGAACAAGCCAGTTGCCCTGTTCATTGGAATCATTTCACTCAACAAGCGGGGCTATCCGTATTCCGTTTAATCATGTTGCGCATTGCTTTTAATCTCTTGAGGAGGAGGAAACAGAGGTATCAACACAATATTGCCCTATTATTGTTGCTATTCAACACAATCCAAACACACGCCTTTCCTTTTTATACTTTAAAGAACAAAGTATTCCTCCTTTTGTGCATTGATAATTTGTTCACTTAAAACATGGATTGGAGAGGTAGTTGAGGCCTCGCTGTCTTGGCCCTTGGACCTGTTGTTCGGTTTTTTAGAATCTGTCTTGCCTTTTACTGCTGACGATGTCGCACTGGTAATTCGAGATGCCTTTTTTGCTGAAGCTGACTTTCTTGTTGGAACCTTATCCACTACCTTAGCCATTCGAACAGGACGCAAACGAGGCTCAAGGAGATTACTCTGACGCTGGGCTGAACTGGTTATGGTGATCATCTCCTCGACTCCGTCCTCCACATGCTGCCGCTTGTGCTGATGAGTGGCATCACACTCCCCCTCTTCCGTATCAGCAGCACCCTCCTCAGAATGACTAAACACATCCATAACAACTTTGGGTCCAATGGACGGGCCAGGGGCTGCCCCTTCGCTCGGCGCATCTGTCCGTGGTCGCTTGCCGTCATTTAACACCCCGCCAGCCGGCATAGGATCAGTCATTTCTCGTTCTCTTTCCTGACGACGGGCCCGTATGAGGTGTGCGGCGAGTCCGCCCGAGCCCTCCCCGTCGAGGTCGCGATCCGACCCGGGGTCTCGCGTCGGCGTTAACCAATCCTCCGCCTCCAGGTGCAAACGCTGGGTGCCGCTGGGACTCTTCCCTTCCCCGCGTGGGGTCCCCGCCTTTGCGGGCGCGTGGTACTCCTCGACCTGCACACGCCCGAGGTGGTCGAGCCCGGTGAACCGCAGCTCCCGGAGGAGCTCCCCGACCCGCAGCCGGTCCACCCCCGGGCCGCGCACGAGCACGGCGTCGTGCAGGCCGAAGTCCACAAAGGCCCCGAAGGTGGTCACGGACTGCACCATCCCCGTGAGGAGGTCGCCCTTTTGGAGGTCCTTCGCCTCTTTGATCTCGCGGCGGAGGAGGCCGGCGTGAGGCAGGCTCGCACGGGGGTCCAATCCGGGCGACAGCAGCTCCCGCCCCACCAGCCGAAGCGTCTCCAGCCCACACCGCAACCGCCGCGCCAGCGCGACGAGGGCGTCCTCCGGGAGGTTTGAGACGGCGAGGCCGACCTGCTGGCGCCGGTGGCCCCCTTCCGCGCCCGCGCACCAGCCTAGCTCCCCTTTGTCGTACGCCTCCATGAGCTGCCGGACGAGGTGGTACGACTCGGGGTGGATGTTTGTGTTGTCCAGCGGCTCAGGGGAGTTCGGAAAACGGAAAAAGCCCGCAATTTGGTTATACACGAGCTCGGTCATGCCCGGGACATGGCGCAAGTCTTCGCGGGTGTTGAGGTGCTTCGTATGACGGGACAGAACTATTTGATCAACGAGCTTTTTTTGAATCCCAGGCACCTTCTCCATGACGTAACGGTTCGAGCTAGATGCATTGATGCCCACAAGCGCGACGCACGACTCAACAACATGGTTCAGCCCTTTTAAAAGCTCTTTTTCATTCACGTCGTGCTGGTACATGCCGATACCCATGCTCCGCACAGGTATCTTGACCAGTTCACTCAGTGGGTCTAGCACGCGGCGGCCGATGTTGACCGCTCCACGATACATGATATCCAACGTGGGAAACTCTTCCTTGGCAGCGTCCGAGACGGAATAGACGCTTGCGCCGGCCTCACTCACAATTGCGAACTCGACATCAGTCCACTTCCGGTCCTGGATTGTCTTCGCCACGAGCAGAGCCGTTTGCTGCGAGGCCGTGCCATTCCCAATGAGAATTTTGTTGAGCTTTTTCGTCTCCACAATCTTGTAAATATACTCCTGCATTCGTTTCTCATCCATAAGGGTGCATTTGAAAAAGCTCATAACCTCTCCATTTTCGTCTAAAGCGACACACTTGATGCCGTTAGTGATGCCAGGGTCCATGGCCAAGATGCGAGCACGGGAGAGCGGACGCTGGAGTAGCATATAGCGAAGATTGTGTTCAAACACCAGTATCGCCTCTTGGTCAGCACTTTTTTTTAAATCACGGCGGATGGTGTTCTTAATGGATTTGAGCAAATGCTCATAGGTCACACGCAGGCCTTCACGTAGCAGCTGAAGCTCATCTTTTCGATTGGCGGCGTTGGAGCTGGAGCTCTTGGCTGATGAGACATGTTTACCAGCGCTGTCCGAAGGGTGCGAAGAGCCTGATGACGAGAAAAGCAATTTGTCGATACCGCTGAAATGCTTCTTAACAAGCCCTTCAAAAAGCCGTTCACAGTTGTGATCCGGCTCAATATCTACCCGAAGAATTCCCTTCGTTTCACCACGCTGCAATGCCAAGATGTTGTGGCTACTGAGACGGTGCAGTGGCCAACGTTTTCCATCGTAGTACTGAAACTTCCCTCGCAACTGCCGCAAAGCATCTTCCTCCATCTCCTTGGCGACTTTCTTTCGGGACTGCTGTACCACCACGCTCGTCAGATGTGCGTGGCGCTGTAAATGGCGAAGTAACTCCTGACGAATGGCATCGCAGCGCTGGATCTCCTCCGCGAGGATGGCCACAAATAGCCGCCTCCCATCCTCCACGCGGGAAATCGACAGGGCCTGGTTAGGGAGGGCGATGCCCTGATGAACGAGCGCCTCAGCGAACGGCCCGAGGCCGGCATCGCGACCGCGCGACGCCAAACTCGTTTTCTTAACCTTAAAAGGCTCCCACACGTCCTCCAACTGGCTGAGGTGCACCATATTCTCCAGGCTCCGTTGCAGCCCCTCCGTCAGCAGCCCTCGTTGTTCCAGACTTTTCAGCATGAACTGTCGTCGTCGATGCACCTCCGTTACCTCCTCAGACGTGGAGAGGACCAAGCGGAGCTGCGTTTCGTCGAGCTGCCCGGTTTCATCTTGGCGGTAGCGCGCGAGGAAGGGGACGGTAGCGCCCTGCCGAGACTGCTCTAAAGTGTAGCGCACGGAAGCGACGGGTAAACGGAGCCGCGCGCTGACAAGGCGATACTGTTCCTCCTTCGGTAGGGCAACGCCTATCGAGGAGGATGCCGATGTGAGGGGGGTGCCATTAGCATGCGACGAGGAAGCTTTCGCCACTCCATTCTCGTTCCCACGCGACATCTCGGTATCCTGCAAAGGAAATGGATCGCTACTTATATATCGTCTAGGGATACAGGAAGCAATTGAAAAGATGGGAGCCTCACCAGGAAATGCAATCCTGATACGCCGGTTATTTTTGCCTGTTAATGCTTGTGGTTTGCAGCAATGGGGTAGACTACTCAAAAACACTGGAATCAGGCCGAACTGACCGCACGGGGCGGCTGCAAGGACGCTTGGTCGTACCTTTCGAAGTAACACGGGAGACCGTGAATTCGGTGCTTCAGTAGCTTTGATTGATCGTATAAAGTTGGCAGGGAAATTTTTTCGAAAAAATCTCATTAGTATATACCCATTTGGGGGTAATGTGAAGAAATACGCGAGCTTCTCAGTGAGCTTCCGAAGAAAGATAATGGAAGAGAAGGCCAGAAACAGCAAGCACGGAACAATTAAGTCCTTTTTATTGTAATGAGTCAGAATAATAATGATACGAACTATGAAAATGTAGTAATGCAATAAAAACTTCGTAAATGTGCTACCAAAAAAAAATCATAAGAGGATCGAAGCACAGGGCGATCATTCGCAATCGATTCAGTTGCACACATAGGACAGATTATGAATGTAATTTAGGAAAGGATTTTTAAAAATAAACTTACTAGGGTTACTGCCTCATATTTCATATGTAGTTATGCTTTAACTAATATCTATTATTACTTTATATCGATTTCACTTTGAACGTTTCTTCAATATCAGTAGCCTGCATAGCGTCTTCAGCTCCGCTTATATAAAATGGTGGCGCTTTGATTCAGTATTATTACCTACAACGAATTACCAAAGCTCCAAACATTCATCAGCAACCGACTCTAGGAAAACTGCCCCATGCCCAGTACAAAGATGGGAAAAAAATTTACTTCAAGCATCAAATTATGCTAACAAATCCAATGCAAGGAAATAAATTATACTTTGCTCATAATTATATGTATTGAAGCGACAAAACTCGCGCCAATTTGAGAGACATCAGTACAATGAAATTTGAAAGCAACGTAAGAATGCAAAAGATATTTTGCTCAAAGTAGCCCTTTTATCCCCAGGATTAGTCAGGAGCATGAGTTAAGCTTTACGCTTATACAAGTGATAAAACGACAAAATAAAATAGATTTGCTTAAGGAGTACATGAAGTTTTTTTTTCCATTTCAACCGCTTAAGGTTACAAATCATATAGTTTTTCCACTTTATTCCCACTCTTTTTTTGAATTCCATTTAGATTCTCCTGCAGGAGAACTCTATAAAATTTAAAAAGGTAGGCCATTATTACTTTGAAGCCTTAGTAAATTTATGTGAACAATTATCAACGTTGTTCGTAGGGTGGGGGAATAGTTAGCTTTGTAATTTTTCCATTTATTGAAATTTATTCAACAAAAGTAAGGGAAATATGCATTAATTACTACTTTCAACATTATGATTGCATATATTTTGATCAACGATCCATCAAGCTAAAAAAATGAAGACAGACAGAAAAATATGAAAATCAATTAATGATGCCTATTTCTAACCCTCATGATAGATTGTCTTAGGCTATACATATACATATACGTGTATGAATATATATAATTTTGTCACTAGTTCATGTTAAGCATGTATTTTATGTCGCCCCCCCCCTTGTGTGGGTTAGTTTCATAGACGGCTTCCATTCATTTTAGAATGCGAGCACAACACCCAGTTGGGAAAGGGCACCCAAAGAGCAACCCAACATAAGCGCCCCATCACACGCCTGCGCCGCCATCGCCTGCTCACCGTTTCCTTTCAATCCCGGAGTGGTTGGTGCGTAAATCATGGTTAAGGTGCCCACATAACCACTAGTGAGACCCATGAGCCCGGTGAAGATGTACGGCGCCGCCTTGCCCGGAATCTTGTGGTATCCACACAATACCACCAACGGAACAAGCACGATGCGCACAATCGACAGGATCAGAACAGCCTTTCGAGAGATTTTCAATTTTTCGGATACAAGCACCATACGTGAGGCGAGATCCGTAAAGTTGAAGATCGCGATGACGAGCGTCGTGTACCAGCTGTCCAAGCGGTCGACCGCGAGGAAGACCCCTGGGTAGATGAGCAAAGTTACGAAGAAATTCAGGAAACAAGCGATCTGCATGGGGTAGATTTTCTTGACCACGTGCCACAGACTGACTCTCTGGAGGAGCTCTGTGGAAATCAGCCCAGCCGGCTCCTCGTTGCTGTCGGTTTCAAGCATGGAGTTGGGCTCCTCTTTGGACTCAGTAACAACGGACCCGACAGCATCTGAATCTGGAGAAGCGACCAGCGCATTCCTTGTTCGGTGTAGCGTCGGAGCATTCCCATCTTCAGGAGCGTTACCGACGGTTTGAGATCTCAACGTGTCGTCACTCAACCTCAAGGGGCGGTAAATGTTCTTCCAAGCCGATCGCGTCGAGCGAAGCTCAGGGATGTAATTCTTGGCAAACGAGTTGAAAAAGAGGCACAACAGAAGCGACGAGGAGACGAAGATGATGGCAATGCCTATAGAAAAGTATATAACAGACTGCTTTAAGATAGAGTTGAAGTCGCCTGCCATAGATCCGAGAAGAATAATCTGCACGAGCGACATTATGGCTCCCGATGCCGGTAGCCCGACCATAGCACCGACGACGGTCCTCGAAGGGCAGGTGCCGAAGAGGGCGAAAACGGTGTTCTCGAACACGGCCCGCCCCAAACCGCCAATGAAAGCAGCTATTAAAACTCCAACAACCGCACCCGACTCGGGGGTGCTTGCGTGTGGCATCAGCAAAATAATAAGAATCTCCCCCAACGCGATGAGGCTTCCGAGCTCAAGACGAAAGAGGTAGGAGAAGCGACGGAAAAAAGGGATAAGATTCAATGGCTGCAGGACTGCCTGTGAGACTTCGGTAACAATGGTATAATATGTCAGGACGTTCATCCAAAATTGGGGATAGTCAGCCACAGCATCCTTGTCATTTTTAATGTACTTATAATAATCAATCATAAACTGCGGTGTTGAGTTGACGGCGTTCATTCCTAAAAGGATAACCATACCAGACATAATGCTGGTGATAAAGAGCACGAACTCGCCAACATTTTGAAACCCTAAGCAGCCCATGATGCGTTCTCTTCACAAAAGGCGGAGTTATTTTTAGGCTAAATGACTTAAGAAAGGTGTTAAGCCTTTTCTTATGTGTTTAAGTATTCAAATGAGAAGGAAACAAAATATGGAACAGAAGGTACATATCACTTTATCTAACCACTGTCAGTGCTTCGCTACGACAAAAGCCCTTCCATCAGATACAAATTCATCCTATTCAATTACACCTATGCCCTTTTACTAGTTACAATAGTAAAAAAATAAAAGAACAACACAATTATTTGTGAAAACTTTCGGTATTTGCATGCCTAAAGTAGAGTAACAAATACATTCACAATTTCATGAATTTTAAGGTACTAACCACAGCATTTACGTGAAATTCGTTTTCATTTCCAATTAATATGAATAAAATAAAAAAAATCGTATTTTTATAGACTAATGAAAAAAATGAAAATCCAGGATAAATTGAAATAGATCAACAAAAATGCGATCCGTGGAGCGAACTTCTTTTTAGGGAGAAAAATCAAGATATATCCATTCCTTTTCTTACCGTTCGGCTTAAGTGAAAGGGATCACCTCCGCTAGCTGAAGAAGAGAACCTACAGAGCAACCAAGAAGCAAACACGCGCCAGAGACCTGACCAGCCAATGCCTGCTCAGCATCGGATTCCAACCCTGGTGAAAAAGGGGCGTACACCATCGCCAGCGTCCCAAAGAACCCATTCGTCAACCCCAAGAGCGTGGTGAAGACATACGAGGCGGTCTTCCCAGGGATGATGTGCAGCGCACATAGCAGCTGCAGCGGAACAAAGACGATTCGTACTATGGTGACGATCAAAATGAACCGGCGGCTCGGCCACACCCGCTTCCACATGCTCACCACACGGCCTATGAGATCGCAGAAGTTATAGCACGCCATGATGAGAGTGGTGTACCAACCATCATTCGCGTCGACTGCTAAGAAGATACCTGGGTAGATGAGATACGTCACACCAAAGGTGAGGAAGGCTGATAACATCATCGGATAGGTTTTCTTGATGACAGGCCAAAGTTTCACACCCTGCAGCAGCTCAGATGTGCTGATGTCGGTCCCCTCCTTTAGAGAGATAGGATGCGCATGGGTGCCCCCAGTCGTGCTATGTTTGGCAGAATTAGCATTGTCCACTGGGGTGAGTTGTTTTGAAGCGACCGGCGGTGCCGACACCACCTTGGATAACGCATCTCTCTTGATTTCGTCTGAATCGGGGAAGGTCGCAGTATTGTGTGAATCACAGGCATCTTCATTGTCCCTAACTTTATGTGGGCTATCATTTTCGTGCGGTGCGTTGGCGGTGTCGCTCTGGCGCAAGGGACGATAAATATTCTGCCAAAAGCCTCGTCGACTGCGAAGCTCCGCTACAAACTGCTTGGCGAATGGATTGAGTAGGAGTAAGAACAATAGTGCTCCCGCAGCAAAGATAATGGCCAAAGTGAGAGAAAAGTACAAAACGGACTGCTGCAAGATGGAGTCATGGGTGTCCGGCATAGATGCTTTGAGAACAATTTGCATCACCGAAACGATCGCCCCCGACAAGGCCGATCCAATTAACATCGCTGACATCATTTTGGACGGGCAAGGGCCGAAGAGGGCGTAACCGGTATTTTCAAAGTAAGCACGAGCCACTCCACCGAGATAGGCTGCAATCATCATTCCAGCTATTGCACCTTCTTCGGATGTCCCACCAAACGGCATCAAAAGGATCACCAAAAGCTCCACCATCATGACAAGGCAGCTCAGCTCTAGCCTGAAAAGCAGCGAGAAGCGGCATAAAAAGGGGGTGACATTCGTAGGCTCATGAATAGATTGCACCACAATTGTGATTATTGTGTAGTAGTTTAAAATGTTAGCCCAGAATTTGGGCATTTTAGGCTGGGAATTAGGACTTGCAATGAACTCATAGTACTTTAATATGAAGTTGGGTGCAGAGTTTATAGCGTTGACGCCCATCACCATGGTGACGCCCACAAGAAGGCTTGTCAAGAACACTACGAACTCTGAAGCATTTTGAAAACCAAAGCACGCCATTTTTTTATCTCTAATACTCCAGTAGAAGAGATGCAGTGCAAAAAAAAATGTTTGACACACAAAGATTGTTTTAACATTGTTTTTTTTCAAAAGAAGCCTAGAGTTGAGAGGCGAGAATAAAAGAGAGAATGTTCAGATTGGGGATTCACATAGGGAATCAGATCTTTTAAGTACACAGCTGCAGTTTGTAAATTTATTCTTTGAGTGTAGCCACTCGAATTAGCTTTTACGATGGAAACCAGTTTAAAGCGAGCGACAGCAGCACGCGTCATGAGTCTAGGTCCTGTATATCCATTCCCATGACATCAAGCTGTATGATATCCGTCCTTGCCTCCAACAATGTCCCCAAACTCGGGACCGTTCGACCCATGTCCCCGTGAACAAACTCCTTCACGTACGTACCCGCCTGTGTTTCCAACTCCAGGATATACCAGTGGGCATTAAGCGGGGTAAGCTGCATCGAATGGATAATCCGCGAGCGAGCATGCAATGAGCGCCGATGCAGCACTCGCAAGGGTGTCTTTTGCTCGATCTGAAGATCCTTTGTAGCATTCACGATCGCAAAGCGAGAGTCAGTTGAAGGGTCTTCAATCGCTCTGCTGCTCCAAACCACACAACGATACCGCTTTAGCTTGCTCTCCGAGTGACGTGCGAGGCGCACCGTAACCCCGGGGTCTGTAAACCGCAGGCTATGCACCTTAACGCTGCCGTCGTGGCTTTCGTTGATGCGCTTCACCATCTCCGGAAAGTCGTCCGCAGAGACCGCTTCGCTAGAGGGGTTCACGATTTCAAGGACAAAGGGTCTTCCAGATCCGAGCATCCGCACATCAACATCCTCACGACCAGCACTATGGAATTTATAGCGTCCATATCCAAATACCTGCTGAGCACTCACAGTTTCCGGATCTACACTGTTTCGGTGGTGTCGCTTTGCATTGACATTTGTTGTATCATTATTTTGACTTTGGGGGGTAAAGTCAAGTTCTCCTAAACCAACTTGATCTCCGGTGGGACTATTTAAGGCTGTAACACCCTCCGGAAAGAAAAAAGGCAAGATCGGGCCCGCAATAATTTCCTGAAGTGAAAAAGAGCCAACACGCAAGCCATCAACAAACCACGGCGACTGGGATAGATTGCGTTGCATTTTTAGGTAATTACCCTGCAAAAAAATGTTAGCATGGGTGATAGTGCAAGTCATCGTTGCGGCCTCGTAGGCCTTTACCCGAACATTATCAACATCCTTGTCGGATAGAGGTAAAGAAGCCCAACCAATAGATGCCAAGTGCGGCACTACATGCTCGTAGATGACGGAATAGGTCAAAACCATATCACCGCTTTTGTTGCTAGCGTAGTGCTTTGGAAATTTATTGCATGTGACAAGGGGCTCTGTAGGGGGATGACAGCAGTACACTTCACACACTACGTGCTCGTTATTCGTATCGTAGGTAAATTTTTGAGGGCAAGTGCATGTAATGTCTTCTTTTCTTATGCTCTCCACTCGCTGAACTTTTTCTCTTGGTTCCTCTTTTTCGGCCACCCCGGGCTCCACGGAATCGGTTTCCACACCAAGTAGTTTTAAATATACTAGTATACCATGGATGGATTCCCTTCTTAATGTAACAATCTCTGAATGAGGGTAGATGAGATACTGTAGTACGCGCGCCCGTAAATCGGACATGTAAAGCTCCTTGAAGTTTGAAAACTCTTCCGGGATAATTGCTGCTGGAGGTGGTCGCTCAACCATGGTTGCAAGTCTGTCATAATACCGAGTAGCCACTGCCAGCCACGTAAATGTCAGGCTGCGACTGATGTTGATGTTTATGGATATACTATTGGAATCCGTAAACCGGCTCTGTCGTACCTTTGCTGCCACCATGGGAGCGTGAACATGATCCATAAACTGATAAAGCCCGAAGCACGCCACACAGAGCCACGGGATGCAGCGCGAGGTTCCTACATTCTTATCAACTGAAACGACATTCTCTGTACCACCCAGCCGCCAATTATCGCCACGCACACCTCCAGAGGGTAGCTCCTTCTCCTGAAACCAACGCCATGCGCTATGAGCGGTTTCATGTACAATGGTGAAGCGCGCATGGTGTGTATCATCCAAATAGGGTCTATATTGAAAATCTACAGAACCATGACACTCATTCGCGTTCTCCACTGTATTTTCTGTAGCGACAGTGGCCTGTCGCTGTTGGTAATTCAATGGAGGGGTGAATTGGAAAAGCATGGACATGCGTAGCGCACATGGATAACATAATGCCTCCCTACATTTAGTAGCTGATGACATTGAGGAGCTTGAAAGGGGGTAATCACTTGCCAAAAGCCCACCCCTTGTATCGTTGTTTCCCTCTACCACTTTCTTGTGCACTTTACCCCGTGTGAATCTTTTTACCTCTATTTAAGTAGCAGGGTGAAAATTATGTAGGGTAACATAGTTGAATAGCTCTTCTCCATCATAATCCTTTCACTCTAAAAACACTCTGACATTCGTTCATGGTTTGAAAGACGCCTCTTTTGAAAAAAAAAAGGTTGCTTTTATTATGAATTCACATATCCAAAACACAGAGATCGGGAAAAAACGGGCAGCTCCTGCACGATGCGATGCTGAAAAACAGCCACAACTTCGACACGCTGAACCCTTTTCCAGAGAAAAGGGCGAAGCAATGAAGATGACGCATATGAATCCCTTGCGTTATAAGGGATAAAAAGTGGGAAATGAAGAAAAAAGCAATGAACAGCTCAATCACACCGCAAAACTGAGAAACCACTGCCAGACTCACCTAACTAAAGACGGGACAGCAATAACGACACACACTACCCATCTAGCCTTAAAACCCCTGAGAGATTATCCTAAGTGACCACATCAGTGCGGCTAATGTAACTTGGGTTTTTCAAAGTGAATAAAGCGGCTAGAAAACGCAAACCTTGCAATACAGATTAGGTATCGCGAGCAAATGCATGCAGAAGAAATGTATGATAATATGGCGGCCATGGGTATATTGGGATCCAACACCCAATAACAGGGTTATGTTCGCTAGAAGGACTAGTACAACTCTATTCTGAACCCAGATGAAATACTTTTCCAAAAGTAAAATCCTCGAGGGACACCAGTGATCATAGTCACGGCGCTGAGAAGGTCCCTCCGAGGGCTAGAAAACCGAATCTAGCTATTGTTGATATTCTGTTCATATCTTGATCAAAGCAAAGGATCATTATACAACGATAAATAGCACGAGAACTGATCATGCATACTGTTCACACGTCACTAATACGCGATCCTCACCATAACTACTATCGTGGAAGTTTGTTGCCTTAAAGAGATGTTGGGAAAATATTCAAAAATATCTGAAAAAGGACACTTATTAACGGAGGATAAAGGCCATGACAAGATCTATATGTTAAGATAGGCCGAAACCAAATGAGAGCACGACCTAGTTTATACGATAAATACCGAGTTCGGACACATTTCTGCTACTATCTTTTTGTTAAACCAAGACTGGTGTAACATGTTCTGATTCCGTGCATCAGAAATAAAAATTATTTTAAAAAAATCACTCCCAGTGGACTCCTCAACCCTATACACACACAGTCAATGGACAATGTAAGTGTGGAACCGATGAATAGTAGAAGCAATATATCGATGTCTTCCAGGCTATCTTGATACTTTCATTGCCATCATCCCCAACACCATTTTATTCTTAGTTTATTGTAGTACATGATGAGAATACAACATCCTTAACAAGAACGATATGGTATAGGAAAACTGACCTTCAAAAATTGACTCACAACGTGAATGATGTGAAAATTCTTGAGTTGTGCTGCAATTACTATTCCAAACTCTTCGTATACGTCACTAAGTCTACTTTTCATTCGACAATTAGGTGTGACTTGTAATGTCACGAATTAGATATTACTCACAAATAGAATATACATACGAAGCTGTATCCATTTCAGATAACGAAATGACATGCATGAACACATAAAATATTAAAAGGAAGGAAAACTTCATTTGGAAAAGTAGCAATAACGCAAATTTGCGTTCAATTACAGAAACATAATGATGCTGTCAGGCAAACTGTTAATAAATTTTGCGCATCTGAGCAAGGACCATATAGAAAGTCCCTGTTTTTATGTAATGTCACAACAACACATGGACTAAGCGGAAACATTATTAAGAGACATAATTGACTTTAAAAGATGCGAAAAAAATAAATGAATGCGTTTATTTTACTCAGCTCCTCATTTTGTAAGATCTTTAAGACGCACAGTTCGATACATCACACACATAGGAAAAATACGAAGTGTTAAAAAACATAATAATAATAACAATATGAAATATGAAGACCTTCATTGTAAGATTTATTTAGTGGATGATTTACAAAGCCCTGTGTTACCAAGTCAAGAGTACTCACATTGTGATTTCAATCAGTTTTATTACATAAGCCAGCATAATTAAGATGACGTTGTTTGGAAAAGTTCCACGGAGAGTAATTCACGTGATTAAATATAAATACCCTTTTTGCGCCATGTCATAGCATATCGTGGTTGTTATAGGCCGGGAATTTTTGAGCAGAAAAATTACTTTATACATTTTTTTGGATAAAGTGTGTCACCCATGGGAAACCTAAACTAGACATATGCGTGTTTTACATTTAAAAGTAGAAACACTTTTTTACTTAATAGAATTGGCAATGATTTACACAACATTTACAACCATTTTCTAGAAAGAAATGGTTTACTAACTTTTGACAACAGATTACTGTAAACCTGTTGACACTTCAACCGAATCCATTAGTTTATGTCATATTTCATCGGAAATTACGTCATCAAAAAAAAATTATCATTCGTTCAGCGCACTGTTGTAAAAATACTGGCGAAATTATCACAATATTCCATCTTCAGGGAACTTTCTTGACGAGCTGTCTATGATGAAAAAGGAATGTGAGGGCAATTTGATACGCACACCGCACGGGGATCACTAGAGGATATGCTGTCAAGGCGGGCCAATCGTGGTTACAGGAACACAAAAAGATACGATTAGGGAGATAAAAAGATCAAATCCCAAGGTATATGTCTTTGCAGCCAATTTCAGCGAATCCCCCTCCTCCCTAAGCACCTTCCTGCAAATGAAATTATCAAACGACTCTCAGCCTAGCCACTCCGTAAAAGAACAAACTAGATAATAATAATGCGTGAAAGCGTACTAATTGGCGTAGCGCTTGGATCCCTTACCACATATGAAGCTGCTCCCCAGTCAAAAAAGGGTGCTCGAGGAGAGAACTACACGTTGGACGATTTCTAAAATCCTCCGTCAAGCACAACTTTACAAAATCGACGAATTCTGGTGAGAACTCTGAGTTCTCAATTTCATCTAAAATCGGTCCAAACGTATCAAAACTACTCCCAAACGAAGCCTCTGTACTGTGACCGGAGCCCTCGCTCCCTGTAAAGCCTGAATTAAACAGAAACCCTTGTGAAAACTTCTTCAAAAAGCCATGTTGAACTATCTCTGGGATGGCGCGTTCTATCGGCCTCCACGGTAGATGGCCTGTGGCAAGTTGGAAGACAGTTATCCCAATAGACCAGACATCATTAGAGGGGCTGTCGTCGAGCCCGAGACAGCCTTCAGGCGACATGTACAAAATGGTCCCCGCCAACGTGCGCTTGCGGTGGGAGTTGCTTAGGGTTTGTTCCAGGAGAGTGTCCAACCTTTTCACCACTTCGTCAATCGGACGGGCCAACTTGGAATGCCCAAAGTCCCCTAGTTTGTAGTGGATTTTTGAATCCAGAGCCTCATGCTGCGACGCAGATGCCGCCTCAGCGGAAAAGAGTAGAATGTTATGTGGCTTGATATCATTGTGAACTACTCCAGCCTCCTCGTGCAAATACCGAACACCTGGCAGAATGTCCAAAAGCACATTGCGTATTTCCATTTCACTAATCTGCTCACATTTATTCAGTTTGTTGGAAAGAGTCCCATCACTACTAATTTCTAAAAGCGATAAAACAAAAAAAGATTTAGGATTATGGGCCCTTAGCTGTATTTTTTCTTGCTGGTGGAGTTGCGATGATAAATGCCGAGACGTCTCGTTGACATGGTCATCCGATAGAAAAAAAACTAAATAACACCTAACGAGTCCTGGGTGGTTCATACTATGCCTCTTCTTCAGAATAAATACTAAGTCGGCTACCATCTCAGGATCCATTAACATCTCTGTACTCACGAGTGTTTTCTTTGCCGCCACCTCGATGCAAAGGCTTTTCTCCGGTGCAGTAGACTCCCAGGTTGACAGACTAGCTTCGTCATTGACTTTATCACGATCGCCATCCAGTTGATATTTGTATATCTGCAAGTTGGCTCGATAAACATAAGAGAGGGGGCCCTTCCCAAGCAACTGTCCAGTATTATACGATATCTTAACCATGAAGCCATTAAAGGGGCAGAAATGTATGTTGAAATCACAGCTACCACTAAATGAGCTGGTCAGGCGGAAAGTACCGTTGTCAGAACTCGCTGCTTCATGGTTGCTTTCGGTGAAAGAGAAGTCATCGTTTGAACGATCTGAAGCTTTCATTAAATGAACCAAGCCCACCTCATCGTCGATGAATTCATTTTGTTTATTTATAGGAGGACTGGATGAGTACCCAAGTTGAAGATCAGAGGCTGAAATACTGCCGTGCTGTACACGCGTTGGTGCCAAGCCGTGAGGAGGGCTCGGAGAAAAGAATGGGGGTTGAACACAAGTGTTGCTTCGCAACATTTCCGAGCACACATAAATGTCGTGAACAAGCCCCTCAACATTCTGCATTCTTACACTTTGAATGGTGGGATCCTGAAAGGTTTCATTCAAAATGTCTGACTTGCTTAAGTCTTCCATTTGATACCTTTAGCTCTTATCCTGATAATTACTATAGAGTTTCCTTTATAGTGAACTATTATAAAGAGGGGGAAGAATGACTAAAAGGTTACTTCTGAAAGTAAATGCGAAATGAAATCAAGTACTTTCACCTTTAAATACGCAATTGCAATGCACCCAAAACAGATATTTCATCCTTGACATGCATTTACCACACTGAAACAATAATATCTTCATTCATCCTCAGAAATAAAATCTTGAGAAAAGAGACATTCAAAAAGAGAAGATGACATACTAAAGGAGCATTGCGCTAAAATAATAATGATAATCATAATAATAGTAATAGTAATATTAATAGCAATAGTGGTAATAGTAATAAATACCTACGAGAGAGCAGAAAAAAATAACATTCCGCTCTTCCTACTACAATGATCAAGTCCTAATTTGACACGGTGGCAATGAATTCAGACTCATGCAAGATAACCTAATCACACCAACGCCGCCCACCAGACATGTTTTGCACATGCCAACCATCTTGAAACTCCCACAGATGATGTGGAGACCCGCCAGCATTTCCAAAGAAGAAATGCTTCGGTGCGCCTGGAGGAATTTCCTTCATGAAGGGCAATGGGAATCCGAAAAGCAAGTCATAAATAACACATCCTACAAAAAAAATAATAGGGGATCGATAAAACAACCACTCGAAAGGAAGTTGAAACGGCCAGCCCAACGCATGTTTGGTTAGGTAAAAGCCACCAGCGGTTGGGGCGGTAGATATTTGCTTGGGGTGCTCACGGTATGGAAATGTGCGCTTTGGCACGCCATTAGGGTAAAGAGCCTTCACATCGAATCCGCTAAATTTATTAAGAGTGACGCGTAGCATGTCTGAGCGCTACTATCAAGAGAAACTTTGCTACAAAAAAAATCTACAACCCCCTCTTCTTCTAATACTTAGAGGTGCCTTATCCTACTAATATATATATATATGTATATATATATAAGGAAAAAAAGAGAAAATGAAAAAATTCTTAATGAATTGTATTTATATCGAGGCAATATCTCCAAAGTAAGGGAATTTTAAAACAGCATACCTGAACTTTTACAGAGGAAAAATAGCAATGCGTAACTATCTTACATACGATAGATAATGTAAAGAAACAAAAACGATCTGTTTACTATTGGTATAGTTTGCGCTACAAGTGACCGTCTTTCTTGAGACGAAGAGATTTCTTCTTCAGCTGTAAGGCCTGCTGAAGAAGATCTAAATCACATATGGGTTCTGCCACACCCTCCTCTACGAGGGAAGGCCTTGTCTGGATAATTTCTTCTACACGTTTAAAACTCTCCTCAGCATGCTTCAGATCATTCAGCAACAACCAACATGTACCAAGATTAAGCACCACAGTGGGGTCTGCGAGGTCTGGGTTAGCATCAGGATTGATGAGAGCAGAAAAGTCCTTTGCCGCGGATTGGACGTAAGATTTAAATGTACTTCTTTCTTCGGCAATGCGACGGGATTTAATGACTTCCTGTTTAAGTGACTGAATGTCAGCATGAGAGAGAACTGGACCACACTTTTGTGTTGGAGAAGCAACAATTTTTTTGGAGAATACACGACACCCGCTTCGTCCAGGTATCCCCCTTCTTCAGCGTCGAGTTTAGTGAGCATGTTTTCGGCTAACTGTAGAAATGTGCAGCCCCTACGAAATCGAGAGTAGGTATAGTTTTCCTTCACATCTAACGCCGCAGTGTAGTACGTCAGAGCCTGATTCAGTTCCCCCTGATCCTCATACAGCTTACCGAGATTCGCCAAAGCATAGTAGTTGGCTTTGTTTAGTCGAAGAGCCGCTTTAAAGTCGTTTTCGCACAAGGTGAAACATGAGGATGACAGTATTATTCCAGGAACCTGTCTATTCAAGATACAGAGTCCCCTCATGTTATACGCGTAATCATTGTTTGGCTCTAGGTCAATAATACTAGTGTAATCCTGAATCGCGTGATCAGTGTCGTTCAAATGCTCATAGCAAATGGCCCTCCGCTCGAATGAAGCAACATGTGTGGGATTTATAGCTAACGCCCGTGAATAAGATTCAAGTGCACGTTGGTGCTGTCTTTGTGCAAGGTACACTTCACCCATAAGGAAAAAGGCCACTGAATTACTATTATACAACTCAATAGCAATGTCTAAAGCTTCTTTTGCCTTTAAGATATTTGACTCTGTGTTCTTCCCTGTATATTCGAGAAACCCCCTGGCCTCATCGCACTTTTCGTTTGACTTTTTGATTTGTTCTTCAAGAAGTTTGCGCTCCTTTCGAGCTTTGAGGGCCGCCTTCCTTTCAGCCTTAATTGCTTTAGAGGCAGACCTTGTCATTCTATTTTTTGTTTTGCTTCGAAATAAGGCTGACCTTGGATAAGAAAAATTAATTCGAGAAAAAAACATGAAAATTTCACCCTTATAGATTAGTAAACTGTTTGACCTATTCATTAAGCGTATAACTATTTTAGCTTAATTTATCCTTCGTCTCCTTTATTCAGAATGAATGCACGTTCTTTTATTAATATTATTATTATAAAATTACGATAAATTTGTGATACAATGCGGTTGTGATATTGAGCCCTCAACCTAATCGACAAAAATTCATATGTGAATATATATATGTTTATATATTGATGCGTTAGTATTTTAGTATTATTTCATATTCTATAAGGTTCCAACTACATGTCGAATAAAGGTGTACTTAAGAGGTAAAAAATAATTTAGATAAATATTAAACGTTTTTTAGGCTTTGTTTAAAGAAGGCAACTGCTTGTTACTTTCCTTTTTGAAGGCAAATGATTTAAGGGCACAAAGATATTCTTTTTCTGCCGCTGATGGGACCCGAGTCCAGTTCGCATCCCTTTCAATCAGCCCTCTTACTGTTTGGCATGCTTCTAAAACGACCTTCAACCCATATTCTGACGCAACTGCAACAAAAAAATCAATTGGAATGACGGCAACTTCATGCAAAGGTCCATCAACGGATATACTGAATCGCTGTCCAACTCTGGGGACAGAACCCTCTTTCCATTCAGTACAAAACACTGAGTTTGCATATTTTGCGCCCTTTGAATATAAAGCACTGGCATCAAGCACGAAACCGAGAAATAGCCCACCAGGAACCAAGGCATTCGCTACACTCGCAATAAAGTGCCGTGCCTTCACTTCATCGAAGAAAGCGTGGTAAAGGCCACTAAAGCATGCGATTGCTTGGAACTGTCTCGGATGGATTTTGATTACTGTGCTTGTCCAAAAATCCTCGGAAAATGCATCAGCACAAATAACATCATACTGCGCGTTTGGAATTAGCTCTGGGGAATTTGATATTGTCTCAAGTACTGAACCTACTATGCTTGCATTCAAATCCACACCGACGTAGCTCATTGTTTTGTTCAACATCCACTTCCGCACGACCGAACCACCGCAACATAAATCAAGTACGTCGTTTGTGGGAAACTTCTGACTAACTTGGTCAATTAAAAGACAAACGCACCGAGTCATTACCTGCTCCTTAAATGTGGCATCCGGAGGAGGAGGCACATGGTATCCTATTTCAGACCATGTGTTTATAGAGGAGAATACATTCCAGCAGTCCTCACAGTAGAAAAAATTGCTGATACCGTCAGGCATGCCTAAGACAAGAATCCTGCCGCAATACGCGCAATCCCCATGTCCAGTTTCACTCCAACAATTCTTACACCAGTAGGCGTTGTACCGTGGATTAATTTTGCCAACATCATTCACCCTGTGGCACCGCTCGCATAGGTAGGCTCGAACATTTAAAAGCCAAAGCATTTCTTTTTGTGAAATTCCAGGACTCTGCACAAGTGTATTAACCTCTTCATAGGTTGCTACACTATGCATTCCAGGTTCGAAGCTACGAAGAACATCCCACCAGTGGGCACCATCATTTGAGCGGCGGGGAATACAATCAACAACGCTCCCTATTTTGATTTCAGGATGAGCCTCATGCAAAAAATCTGCATACTCATTCTTATATTTAGTAAATGTTTTATCAGATTCATTCGCACGTACAGAAAGAAACGCACGTTTTATTTCTACATTACCTTCAAGGATTGATTCCACATTCGAAACATAAAAAAATGCTGTTAACGAGCTTGGTTGCCTCCACAAGTAAACAAGCGAGCTAGCGTTGCCACAAAAACTAATGTCGTTACAAACAAACGCAATACCCTGAGTTGCATGATCGCTGGGAAGGGTTTTAATTAATTTTTCGGATTTCTCAAACGGGACATAATTGGCCTTCAGAACTAATACACGATTATAAGTTGCATAGGGACAGGAGTCCTCTTCATTTAAATCAATCTTTTCCAATAAGCACCATCGATCAAAAAACATATCATTGTGTACTTCTTTTCCATGAAAAATAAATACATCCTCAATAATAATGCGATATTCTTGATGGGCATAATAAGATGATGTCAGTGTCCCTTTGAAAAGACAGCCCGTTAGCTGCTCCCGAGCTTCTGGCAACACATTCGGTAAGCCGAAAATACTAAACCCATAAAGATCAACACAATAAACATTTCCATCATTATCGATACCTAGTAAAACTGGAGTACCAATTGATTTACGTCTAGCGAAAAAAAGACAGTTTGCAAATTGCTCGGCCGCGTCTGGTACCGTCATACGAGTAAGCAATTTCTCCTCGAGTAATTTCGACAAACCTTTAAGGCGGAAAGTGTGGATGGCATGTACAGCCACCCTGAATGTTGAACTGCACAGTGGCATACAAATACACTGCGGAACCGGTGCATAAATTGTGTTTGCTGTATCAAAAGCGTAGTTTTTTCGCATAATTTCATTAAAAGACACATTTTGGTAAAATGGTGATTTTTTATTTAACGTGAGGAGTTCATGACATCCAGGAACTACGTCAGGGTTGCTAAATGAAACGCCCATAATACTAGTTGCAGTGTCATCACAAAGATTTCCAATATAGCGTAATACATCGCAAATTTGGAAAATATCTTCATTTTGTGTAACAATAGTTTTTATGTGAAGATGAGCCAAGTAAGTCCTTTCCCATCTGCAATCTCCATTTAAGATAGAGGAATATAATTTCTCGAAGGCTTCGAGGCTTTCACGCGTGCGCATAGGATCGTCCATAAAGTAATCAATTTCTAAAGAAAAATCTGATACAGCATCTTCAAGATATTTTTTTTTGGCGTCATCACCTACTGTAATCAGGATACCAAGAGGAATTTTGGATCCACATAAAAAAGGAACAATTGACGCAATAGGGAGGACTCGTAAAGGTCTAAGCCTAGAACCATTGAGTAGTACCTCGGGAAATTTTAGGGCCAGATCTAAAGACGAACAGGCAACAAAAAAATAATGGCGATAAGTTCCACCTATCTGAGTCTCGTTTAAACCAACCAATGATCTGATATAGCCCATCGAAATGAAGTTAGGATCACTAGAAATTTTACTAAAAAAGGAAGTCCACATGCTATTGATTTGAGTTGATGCATCGAAGCCGAAATATCTCGGTATGTCAAGCCGGATCAAGAAACCATGGGCATCATTTAGAGCATTAATATTATTCATATCTGCGTGAAGAGCGAGAATACGCCGCGACAATAAGAATCCTGAGCTTTTCTTCCGGTTCCCATCTAGGGATGGAATATTGGTTGCGGTCATCAAGTTCGTTGCTAGAAAATAAAATAATCCTTCCTCATCAAATTTTCCACGAATAGCAAACAATTTTTTTGAAAACAGCAAAACAGAAACGTGGTTTCGAGTCTTGGCACATGTGGATAAATCTGCTATCTTTAGTACCGGAGCATCAATGCGATATTGATAAAGGCCTGCGTCAATCCCGAAATTAGGGTCAACAGAGCTTGCTCCCGGTGGAACAAATGACTTTGCATTTATATTGAGCATAAGTGCAAATACTGAAGAAAAAAAGGTGAATGTATCGATAATAAGTATAAAAGCAAGGTGAAGATAAGAAACATTGACCCATTTTTATTTTTTTTTTGGAAAATCTGCATCGCCATTTGGAGTACATAAAAAAAATGCAATTAGCATGTAGTAAATTCACACAATAACTATACTTTATATATATATGTGTTTATAGCCCTTCATAACAGATGCAAAGGTACTTCTGTCATCAGTAACTAGTGAAAAAAATTATCTTAAAGAAAAACGCCTATTGTACACATAGATAGATATTATTTTAAAATGAGGATAAAGAGGATGCGCTATTAAGCTAGTAATCTCTATTAAAGATAATCTACAGTGAAAGATGTTGACGAAGACATAACGAAACAAATACACACAACTGTCAAACATCTAAGCGTAACCGTATACATATCCTTGTGTACGTATCAAAGAGTGAGTACTAAAATCACAAGAATACCCCAAACACCCTGCTCTCTAATTTATAAAATCAAAAGAACCCTAAATAAACAAAATTCAGGAAAAATGATTCACTTTAGCGCGTATACAAACTTTATTACTTAAAGGGCAAAACTCCCACTACCCCAGGCACTGTCAAAAAAAAGAGGAAATGGGGGGAACAAGCCATGGCGAATGGAAGGCCATCGCCTTCCCCCTCTGGCAACAGCGGTGGCTCACATTGGTGAGCTACCAAAAAAACAACAACGTGGTATCCAGCTCGAGTGGACCAATCTGCTTGGGATAGGAATGTTAAAAATGTATGGTTCGGTTGGACCCCAAAGAACTCCCTGCGCGGGGGGGATGGGATTTCCCTTTCTCTTTCTCAGTGTTCATATTAGCGGAATGGCCTACACTTTGTATTGATAAAAACTCATCTAATGTGAATTTAACACAGCTTATTGAGCGGGTAAGTTCCCAATAATCCTGCTTGAGCATAGGCCTTAGACAAAAAGAACTACATTCAGACTTACCATATTTTTCCCACGCCACGCGGAAGGGGTAGGAGTGATACTACATTCAAGTGAACATATTTAAGAGGCCCCGAAGGTGAGATGGTCGAGTGGTCTAAGACGTTGGATTAAGGTTCCAATCCTTTCGAGGGCGTGGGTTCAAACCCCACTCTCATCACTTTTTTACCTTTTGAATAGTCTGCCAATGCTGGGCGCACTTCAACCCTCCTGTCACAAAATGCAGCGGGAAAACTACGCCCTGAGACAACATAAATATTCTGGGCAGACTTCAAAATAAGTGGCATTACAGAGGTAAGAGCAGCACCAGGCCTCACCAATATAAAGAAACGAAGTCTGCAAAGTGGTTCTCCGGAATGAAGTGGGCGCCCTCCTCCAAACGCGTCGAAAGAGGCTTTGCACTTATTCTTCAAAGACACATACTTCTGGACAGCCATAAGCTATGGATGTTGATGCACTTTGGTTTAATTTTGGAATTAAACCACATAACCAATGCTTCGAGAATTTTGCACGTCCAAACGAATGGTGTGCATCCATGTCCGCGTGGGTATGCAACAGGCCAAACTGAATGACACCACTTCATGAGATATATATGCTGCTTTTACTTTCAATCAACTGCAGATGTCATTGTATCATATTTAAAATTAATTTTGTCAATGATTAAATGCATTTTCTGACGAGTGGCCCATCCTATGCGA